CAAAATGGACATTCAGAGATTAATTGGAATTTGACTGGATTCTGGGATAGAGCTGGGCTGCCTGAGAGGATACACACATTCAATGGCACTAGGGAAAAGAAGAGTTTCTGAAATCCTCATTTGAGAAATGAAAAGAATCGGGATATGGAGAGATGAACTTGGGTGCAGGGCCAGTGTAGAATTGATGTACCTTGGCTTGTGCCAAATCTGTGGAATTCTTGACTTTTTTTGTGGAAACACAGATTTGCCGGCCCAGACTGGAAATGCTTTCTGCTTTGATCATCCAAACTCTTGAGCTCTCTCCCTAAGGGTCTTCTCTGACCCCCACTGCCTTTTTTTATTTTAGCTTTGGTTTTTGTGTTCCATACAAAAGCAAAGAAGCAAAGATCAAGTGGTTAAAAAAGAGCCATCCAGAAAAAATAGCTGATTCTGAGAGCAGGTGGGAAATATCATGCCTCCAGTGGGCTGTGGAGACTGGAGTGAAGGTGTGGCTATGTGCCTGTGGTCTGCAGCTGTGACCTGTTGTTCCAAAGCTGCCTCCTTTCTCCCTGCCCCTTACACCAGCATTCCAGCACTGTTCCTTTCATTTTTGTAGGCAGCAGGCTCTCCCAGATTGCTTTAACAAATGTGTAAAAAAGAATTGCAGCTTGTTCAAGGATAGGCAATCCTCAGAATGTCTTAAATAGCCTCTTGTCCCCATCTTCCATGTGACTGTGACAAGTCAGAGGAACCTTTGTATACACTGAGAAGCAGGGCTACCAAGACTTAACCTTTCAGGAGCTTAGCAGGGTGACTTGAAAGCATTCTTACCTGATATCCTGCAGGCACCTCAGATACACACACACACACACACACAAAGCAACAAAACACCACACAAAACTACTGAAGCTGTCAGCTGTTGCTACCCACCTCCATCAATGAAACATCAATCCAGCACTTTCTCCTGTTTTGCCCCTCAGCAAAAAGCTGTATCCATGCTTCATTCAAATTGAAAACCCAGAAGTCATCCTAGCTACTCTATCATCTTTACCATCGGGTGAAGGACAGCCTCATAAATACTTTTCTAGTCCCATTCTAGTACACTTCTTTCCCTATGTTGCTGCTCTGATTCAGGCTCTACTTATTCCTATTTTAGAAACTAGAATAACTGAGTATGTATGTATACATATATATGTGTACACACACATTCTACTTATCTTTTTTTTTTCATTCTACTTATCTTGATCATTTTCTTCTTCCACCATCACTAATCTGTATCTTAAGTGAAAGCCTGACATTTAAGGCCAGTGAGATTAAAATGAAGGTCATTATTCCTTATAAACACCATTTGCATTATTTTTCCATGTAACTTAGGTTGAAAAACCAATGCTAGGCTGGTTAATGAATGTCTTAGCCAGATACACAGGGTCTTGGTGACCTTAGACATTGTATCTTCGGCCATTATGTAACCACCACAAACTGTACTTCCTCTCTTTAATACCGCTGAACACCATGCTTTGGTTTTGTGCTTTGGTCTTTAGAGAGTCTGCTATCAGAAATATGCTGGAGGTAAGCAGCACCAAAAGCAGTCTTCACAATGGAATTTAAAATTATTTTTATTTTCCATCCTGTGAAGTGTGGAGCTGAAAAGCTTCAGAGCCACACAGTGCTGTGTCACTTCCTTGTGCTCCCTCTGTCCTTTCCTGGTTTTCTTTTCATGTACAACTGTGAGCCCTGGGACTGTCTGTCAATCTGTGTAGCTCTGTAAATACCAAGTCTTCAAGGCTTTCATGTTCTTCCTCCACCTCAGATCTGTGTGTACATGCTTTCTTCTCTGTGACACTTGTGATGGCACCCAGGAGTGTACAGAGTAAAGAGAGCATTTACAAGTTGCTCCTCATGCGTTGTGGGGTAGGAAAAGAGCTGTTGCTTCTCTTCTTTACAGATAGTGCAATGGAGGTTTTGTTCAACCCATCCAATATGTCTCGCAAGTGCACATCCAGCTCTCTACAGATTGAATGTGGTCCATGATGTACAACTGGAGACATAGGGCCCAATTCAGGTAGAGCTGACTACTTATTTATTTTTAAAAATTAGATGAGACTTCCATTCTTAGAAACTCAGAAGAAAATCAGTGATTTGAGCAAATTTGATTTCAGACTATGCATTTAGGTGCCTGATCACATTGAACTTTCCAGATGCCCTACTCCTCTCCTGTAATATACTGTTACCTTTAGGTCAGTGTGATCCAAGACACCCCTGAGAAGGAGGAGGGGATAGGTCCATACAATGGGTTTTCTTTCTCTCTATATCTATCTATCTATCTATCTATCTATCTATCTATCTATCTATCTATCTATCTGTTTTTGAGATAGGGTTTCTCTGTGCAGTCTGGCTGTCCTCATACTGACTGAGATCTGCCTGCCTCTTCTTCCTGAGTGCTGGGATCAACAGTGTGTGCTTCCACCACTCAGGATAATATGATCAGGATAATTGTGATCAGTTTTCAATGTGGATTTTTGAGGCTGTCAACTAAGTGCATTACTAAGACATTTGATTAAACCTTGAAGATTTTGAGACAGTGTGGTTGGGCCTAATCACATTTATAAAAACAGTTCTTTCCAGTGAAAGAGAAGGGAAAGGTCTCCAAGTCTCTTCGTGAAGTGCTCACAAAGGTTAGTTTTTGTCAGGCTGTGGCATTTTTCACTTCCTGTGGCCAAATCTAACAGGGTGCTTTTTTTTTTTTTTTTCTGTCTAAAAGTGAAGTCCAAAGTCTCACTTCTAAGGCCATCCCTTTCTTAAAAAGACCCTGTTCTTCTTGAATTTAACATTGGAAGAAGTCATGAACTACCCATTACAATATTTGGCTCATCTTCTGAGCAAAGTCAAGCACACTAAGCAACAACAGGAGAATAAGGGTTTTTCCTTTCTGTTGCCTGCACAGAGAAAGAGGCCATTTTACTTAAAACATGTCTGTCTGAATTAGAGCTTTGATAAAGAGAAAGGGAAAGGGAACTTTTAGGATTGCTTTTCCGTGTGTGTGTGTGTGTGTGTGTGTGTGTGTGTGTGTGTGTGTGTGTG